AGGGAGAGAATTTCTGTCACAATAACCTTGTTTGGAACACCGGGTAACTATTGGATGGACAACTCTTTCAGAACCAGTCCAATGAAAGATCAATGCTATGATTCAGTTTTGTAAGTGGGTTAGATGCTACTAACCGCAACAAACGTGACTTGATAGTCTGTTGAATATTTCATAATGAGTGGTATGTGAATATATATACATATATCCACATTTGTGCAATACAATGGGCAGATTCTCGACTCAAACATGAGCATGTGTCAACTATACCTCGATTTGGTTTTGTGTAACACTTGAGCACACCACTCTTTCAAACACAATAGCAGATATTCGCGTGATCCTAAAATCCCGAATTAGTAATCCGAGAGTTCGACACTACAATTTTTGTGGCTCATTAGTTATGCTTATTTCATATTTGGTCAACAGCCGGAAATCGATTCATACAAAAAAATCGCACTAAACAAATCGTCTTGCGTGTCCATGTGAGGTAGGTCTCACGATCAGTTGCTCAATATGACGATGACCTAAGATTAAGGATCTGCTTTGTATTACAGGCATCTATATGACTCAATCACCTCTTAAGAAATGGTTTTACTAAGTGAGTCAATTACGCAATCCGTTCAAGAAGTCCCATTTAATGGAAAGGGTGTTAGAACTAAGGGGGAAGAGGTGAAAAGCCAGTAAACTGAATTATTAGGTGGGTCATGAGCCACCGATATCTATCCCATTTATGAAGATTTTGATTTCAAACCTTCCAAGAAGAGAGGTACAAATCGAGTCCAGGATATCTTAGTGGTCACCAGATCGATTGTGCCTTAAGACGTAGAAAGTGCGTCTTGAATACTTAAGATAAGGTTAATCGGATATCGGTCACTAATGTACATCAGTTTCAACACGGTACCCAGTGACCTTATGGACCAACCCTCGAGTCGGTTTCAGTTTAGAATTCCTAAGAAAAATTAACTGTTTTCGCTCAGAAAAACAAGAAGTATTGGACACAGAAACAAATCGTGGATTGGACAAACAAACCCCCCAAACCAACATTGAAAAGGATACAAATTGTGGGATCACACGATGGAAACAGGAATTGTAGTAGCCGAAACCCCGTTCGCCAGTACACAAGGCACGAAAATTCTCCGCGGTTCGAGGCACTATGTCCGATCGCAATTCGATCACCATTCGACCGACATCCGCACCACCGATACGAATATCCATGAAAACCCGGGGCAAATTTCGTTTACCCCGTTTAGCTGGTGCCTCACCACTTTCAGCTTCCTCTTCCTTTAAATGTAAATATAACATAATAACAATAATGATAATCTTTTCGATTAGAAATTCAAGCACAACCGAAGCGGTGGTTACTCAGTGATGCACTTAAAACAGCCATTTTCGACTCACACAGTATACAAAAGATGTGGGTGTTATCTATTTGTGTTCGAACCCTACTTTAATTCCTGACCTTTTCAATCAAATAATCACCTAATCTTCGAGGTAACGAAACCTTGACAGGTTCTGGCTCATTGAAGGTTTTCAATAAATTTGGGGTCTCAACTAGTATTTTTCACGAAACCCCATATTGCAGTATACATATCTGGTACTATGTGCAGGATTCACACTTTATTCGCACTGAAGACCTGTTCATGGCCACTCATCCGACTGCTAAAACCTGAAACGTAGATTCACTGTACGCGGATAGAATGATAGCACCACATCCTTGCGCTTCTCGGATTCGTACAGACCCGATTCTTCTTATGCGAAATCCATTCCTAATCGTTAGCTTATCACCGGTCGATTACTAAATCGGATATTCTCTCGTAAATCAAGGGTTCACGATAGCAAGCCGGTATCCCCAATAGCTGTATGTGTCTTACTGTGCAACATAAGTGATTTTTGATCGGTCCTCAAGTCTTCTAGGGTCAACTGTTAAAATTCCCGAACAAAAAGCTGGTCTTGTCAACACGCACACCTCTCCTTTCACATAGCTGTTTCATTTTGGACCGTATCTGGGAGCTCAATGGTCATTCAGTCAAAATAGCACTCACCCTCTATTAACC